TAATAATAATCGTAACTATATTAATAAATTGATAAATATAAAAACTACACAACAACAACAACGACAACAATCACATTAACATCAAAATCAACAATCACAACAACAACAACAACAATCACCTCAACAACAGTAACAATCACAACAACAACAATCACAACAACAATCACAACAACGACAAAAACAACAATCACAACAACAACAACAACAATCACAACAACAACAATCAGCACGATATAATGGTAGGCATGATCATAAGCTTTTCAATGGCAGGGGTATCTGGCGAGGACGGTGGTGATGACGATGACGACGACGATGACGTCATAGAAGTCGTTATGGGTAGGAGCATAGGGATCGACCTAGTGGACGGCGACGGGGTTGTCTGTTGCGTTTGTGAAGTTAATTTCGATTGGTGTAGATGGTTGGGTGGTGGTGGTGGCTCTCTGGAGAAGGGTGACGATGGTGGCGATGGTGGGAGTGAGGATGATGATGAGCGTTTGAAGATAGGAGGAGGCTGGTGAGGGTTTTGGTGGTGGTCTTGCTGATGCAACGCGTGAAGCTGCTGCTGATGTCGTTGTGGTTCCTGATAATGATGTGGCTGCTGATGTTGTTGCAGTTGTTGGTGGTGGTGATGCTGCTTGATATGATGTTTTTGTTGATGTTGTTGTTGTAGCTGCTGTTGCTGCTGTTGCAGCTGCGGTTGTTGTTGTAGCTGCTGAAGTCGTTGTAGCTGAAGTTGTTGCAGCTGAATCTGTTGCTGTAAGTGTTGGTACTCCTTCTGAGAGAGTTGTTCGTATTGTTGTTGAAGCAGCAAGTGTCCTTGCTGATTACGCTCATATTCATCATTATTTTGTTGCTGCTGCTGTTGTTGCTGCTGTTGCTGATAAATCTGATATTCCTCGTCATCCTGCTGTTGTTCTTGTTGCTGAAGCAGCTGCTGTTGTTGCTGCTGCTGGTAGGCAAGCAGCCAGCTATGGTGAGATTCCCTTGTGGCAAGAGAATCGCTAGCAGCCGTTGAACACTGACCCTTCAAATCAACGACCACGCTTCTCGATCTCTTACTGGCCAGTGCATCTTCGAGACAGAGTCCAGTAGTCTTTTGGTCATTTCCCGAGAGAGATCTGGTGCTCAGACGGCCACCAAACGTGTAGCTGCTGTCCTTTGGTTTAGTACGTTCACCGTGGAAGTATTGTTTGCGACAAGTTGGGGTTTTGATATCGTGCGGTAGTTCAATTTCTGGAGTCAGTTCTGGTGGCGAGTGTGTGAAGCTGTCGCGTAGTGTGGTAGTGGAAGCGGCGGTGGTGGCGTTGGTTTTGTGGCTGAGAATGTTGAGCTTGTTTTCGTTGAGGAGTTGTTGGAGGAGGGGGATGGAGATGTTGTTGGTGTAGGCCGTCTGCAGAAGGTTCAGACCTGGCAGGATGAAATGGTAATGAAAAGTTTGCTTCAGCTTGGCATGCACAAAAACAAATACGACCTTATAAAAACATAAAAACAATTAAAATCTCACCGATCAAACTGATCTTTAAAAAACAATCGCTTTAAATTCCAACTACCTTATAACCACCAACTATAATTAGATCATATATTTTTAAAAACATTTCGCCAAACCAAACCAACCGACACCAAACTAATACAAAATTTGATAGACATGCCGGGCATGAAATGAAATAGAAACAGCAACATGAACAGTAGGGCCTACCTTTCTTATTGGGCACATCAACATCGATTAGGACAGTGGAGTAGAGGCTGATGTGCCTGAAGATGTCCATGTTCCTCCTCTCGAGGGCCAGATGGCAGGCCGTGTTCCCATTGTTATCCGGAACGTTACAGGAAGCCGAACCTCGAATGAGGATGGAGATGATGGAGATGTTTTCATTTTCAATCGCCAGGTGCAGTGGCGTCTGTAGGTTGGTTAGTCGGGAGTGAAATTTTTATTCATTTATTTAGATGTATTAATAATCAAAAGTTAAAATTAATGAAAATATGAATCAACAAACTAAATATTATGTATATATATATACATATATATAGTTGTATATATGTGTATCTGTTTGTGTGTGTCTTTGTGTGTGTCTGTGTGTGTATGTGTCTGTGTATGTGTGTATCTGTCTGTGTGTGTCTGTGTATGTGTGTCTTTGTGTGTATATGTATGTGCGTGTCTGTGTATATGTGTGTGTGTCTGTGTATGTGTGTGTGTCTGTGTGTATATGTGTATGTG